ATATATATATATATTTAAAAAATACATTCGAAAATTAATATCTTGAATATTTTTATACGATTGAAATTAAATAAATAAATAAATAAAAATATATTCCTCTACTTCTTTGGTTTAAATTATCATCGACAGATGGCGTTCTATTACCGTGTCGCGAAACAAATGGAACGATAATTGTCTACACACGTTAAAAAAAAAAAAAACTACGCTTGGCAACATCAAATTATGATGTCATAATACTGAAGTGTGACGTCACACGTCACTTTTGCTGACAACGGAGCGTGGAAGTGACGTTAACCTGACGTCAAATTGTACGTTGCTTTCAACAAATTTTGATAATTATCTCATTTATTATCTTATTAATAAAAAAGATAAATTTTGAATTTTAATATTTACATTTATCGGGTGGTTCGGGTGCTTCTGTAGTTGCTGGAATATAAAGAAGTATATCCTTGATACGTAAAGATGAAGATAATGTAGAATTTTGGCAAGCGTATTTAATATTTTTTAAATTATCAAATAGGGGATCTAATCTCTCATTATCGTCCTTTTTTATCTATAAAATTAAATTATAAAATATAATTATTAGACATTTAAAAACTTGGTTTCAAAACTCAATTTTTACGCAACTTACCTGGAATAAAACACTCAGCGCTAAGCCAGCATCTGGTTTATTTGTTGGTTCTTTATATTTTTTATTAAGATGAATTAAAACTATCTAAACGAGGAGAAAAATACCACTTTGTACAAGGATAAATTAAGTAAAATATGTCTTATTAATAAAATATTCCTTACCTCTAAAGGAAAATGCTTACTGTCCACGGAATGTTGTGANATTACAATTTATGTTTAAAATATTTTATGTTTTATTCTTCCATATTTTAATATTTAAATATACACATTCATTGGCACTTGCATGTCGCATCGGCACTTGCATGTTTTAGTAAAGATGTTATAGACTTCCTGTATTAAAAATAACCTAATTTTTAATTTTTACAAAAAAGAAATATTAATTTTTAATAAATATTTTTGAAAAATGTAACATGACATTTAATATTTTAAAGTTTCTCAATCAGTAGGTCATGCCTTCTATGAGGTTGCAAAAAATGTTTTAAGTGAGTAATATTACATAGACAACCAATTAAAACAGGTTGAGAAATGATCTATTAATCAGAATATAAAGGCATTTGACATTTCTTTCTTTAAATAATAAATATAATTTTAAAAAATTAATATAAATACAATATTTTAATGCACTTTTGCCCTTTTGTCCTTACCTGTAAACATTTATTAACTTATATATTTTTATTTATTTTTTATTTAACCTACATTAAAATTAACAATTAAAAAAAATCATATTTATAATTATTTTCCTCTTATGCAAATAGTTTTGGCTTACTAATTTTTTAAAAATATTTATTAAATAAGTTCATATCTAAATATTAAAATATAGAATGTGATAAATGAAATTATATTATTACTTTGAATAATTTTTAAATGTTTATTTATATTTATTTTTTCTATGTATATACTGTATATAATTTTAAAAATAAAAATTTAATTTAACTCACCATATTTAGGAATTTTACTAGAATCAATTAGGGACTCTTGATTTATTTTTTTATTATTGAAGAAAAATGACATGGAAAAATGAGAAAATATTATCAAACAAGTTAATTTATTTAAATAATATTAAATTATAAACACAATAAATATTTTTAAAGAAGAAAGAAAGTTCTAAATGGCCAACAACGAGAATAATTTTGTTAAATCGCTTAGAAAATTGAACTAAAGAAAACAATTGTTTTGGGTTGTAGAATATATATATAAAAATATTTTTTAGTGTTTTCGAGTTGTTAAGAGATGAGTATTTATTGCTGCTCATAGGACACAGTCAGATAAGCCTCACTACGTTATAAGAATCAGTTAGTTTCTCTTGATTTTTTTATTTTATTTTATTTTTAATAGAGAATTTTTAACTAGAAATAATATAAAAAATGAATAGATATCAGGAAACAAATTAATTAACTTAGATAAAATTATAAAATACCTTAATAAATTTTTTAAACAAAAGAAAAACTTGAATGAGCAAAAAAACATCTTCACTTTCGAGGATGATTTTATTAAACAGTTCAGAAAATCAACTAAAGATGACAATTGTTTTGGATTATATAATATATATAAAACTTATACATTGTAATCTTTTTGAAATGTTAAACGATAAATATTTATTTCTGTTCGTTTATTTATCTCCATCACCAGATAAGTAACATTCTTCTATACGACTCAGTTATTTTTATTTTATTTTTTAAAAAATAAATAACAAAAAAAATGACAAAATATCAGTAAACAAATTAATTAATTTGGATAAAATTACATGATAACTCAATAATTTTTTTTAACAAAGAAGAAAGACCTAAATGGCTAAAAACATCAGCACTTTTGAGAATGATTTTGCTAAACGGTTTAGAAAATCCACTAAAGAAAACAATCGTTTTGGATTGTAGAATATATACATATATAAGATTTTTTTTTCTAATGTTTTTGGGTTGTTAAAGGATGAGTATTTATTGCTGCTCGTTTATTTATAGGCCATCGCCAGATAAGCATCACTCCGGATCTTCATTAAGAATTAAGGTTGCGTGATACTAGAAGTGGATCGTTTTTCAAGCGAGTAATTTCATCAAGCAGAAAAGATTCTAAAGCGAAAAATGCGATTAATGAATATGCAAGTCAAATGGACGCGTGTTTATTCTTTATTAAATTGAAAGAACTTGAAAACTCCAAAGTACTGCATGTAATTAAATTATTGGCCATAGTAAAGAAGGTTAAAAAATAAAATTTTAAATATATATATATATATTTAAAATTTTATTTTTTAACCTTCTTTACTATGGCCAATAATTTAATTACATGCAGTACTTTGGAGTTTTCAAGTTCTTTCAATTTAATAAAGAATAAACACGCGTCCATTTGACTTGCATATTCATTAATCGCATTTTTCGCTTTAGAATCTTTTCTGCTTGATGAAATTACTCGCTTGAAAAACGATCCACTTCTAGTATCACGCAACCTTAATTCTTAATGAAGATCCGGAGTGATGCTTATCTGGCGATGGCCTATAAATAAACGAGCAGCAATAAATACTCATCCTTTAACAACCCAAAAACATTAGAAAAAAAAATCTTATATATGTATATATTCTACAATCCAAAACGATTGTTTTCTTTAGTGGATTTTCTAAACCGTTTAGCAAAATCATTCTCAAAAGTGCTGATGT